ACATTCAAGGTTGTTTTTGATAGGTGAGGACTTACTCTTGTCATTTTGTTAATTGGTCTCTGTTTTGCATATCCTTTGTTCCTCTCAATAAATTATTATCTTTGTCATTTTCTGTGGTGGTAATATAATCAGCCACTGATAACCTGAATGGTCATTTCATGCAAGGCACTGCTGGTCAGGCCCTAACAAGGCTGGATGAGCAGACATGCCAACATCTGGAGATTATTTAATCATTTCCAAGGCCTACTGTCATAGATAAACTGGGGAACTGGACTCCAAGGTCAAAGACCTAGGGCACTCTGGGTACCCAGTGAAGTCTAGAATAACTATAAATTTAGACTAGAATTAAAATGCTTTTCTTTTGAGACAGAGCCTCAAGCTGTCCCCCTGGGTAGAGTGCCGTGGCATCACAGCTCATAGCAACCTCTAACTCTTGGCTCAAGCGATTCTCCTGCCTCTACCCCCCAAGTAGCTGGGGCTACAGGTGCCTGTCACAACACCCAGCTATTTTTTGGTTGCAGCCATTGTTTGGCAGGCCTGGGCTGGATTTGAACCCACCACCTCAGGTAAATGTGGCTGGCGCCTTAGCTTTTTGACCCACAGGTGCTGAACCCAGAATAAAAATGCTTTTAAGATATAATCACTTTAAGAATAGGAATATATTATATAACTTTGTAACCTACAAGGAGGAATCTGTTTAAGGTACGATAACAACATTCCTGAGGTTTACTTTTAATGTGAGAATAAAAGCAACAAAGGAAAAGAGGGAGCAGAGGAGTACTTTGGGAAGATATCTGGGCTGCTCTCCAGAATTGCCGGCTTTTTTGTAAATAAAGTGAAACTATTAATCTCTCACTCACTTCACTGTAGATTGGCTTGGGTGACAAGCCAACAGACTCTTTGGTCTGGTAACAGTTACATTTGATTCTTTTTTTTCATTTCTGTATCTGTTCTACCAGTGAGTTTTATACTTTTTATATTTTTTAAATTTCAAAGTGTTAAGGGGGTAAAAGTGTTTATATTACATGGATACCTTTTATGATCCTTAAATTGGGGATTTTTGTGTACTTATCATCTACATAGTGTTCATTATACCTGATAGGTAGGTTTTCGCCCCTCCCCTCCTTTCCCTCTTCTCAATTTCCTATGACCTTTATATCTGTGTCCATGTATGCCCATCAACTAGCTCCCATGAATGCTTTCTATAGTTCTCTCCCCACCCACCATACCTAGTACATTAAAAGTGCTCAATCAATGCTTTGATAATACCAATAACATAACTAGAAAGTGAGTGTAATGGCTGGCTTGCAAGACCAGCCCCTTGAGCCACTGTGGGTGGGCTGGGGAGCAGCAGGGTTGAGAAGCAGGCTCTATGGGGCAGCCCTGCTACTGTCCTCCAACACAGAGCTCAGTTGATCCCCCATCCTCAAGGGTAGCTCTGTTGTAGGCAGTTGGACGCCATTGAGCCCACAAGTCTGGGGGCCTTGGAGAAGTTGTTGGTGGGGCAAGGAAGGAGACATAGTTTTAGGGAAAATCAAGGAATCACTCTCTGGTCTGACAGGGATTTTTGCAGATTGTCTATGCTTTTTTGCTTTTTATGAAGTCTATCAACAAGACAAGACCAGGTGGATACAACAGGAAAGGCAGAAAACTGGCCAAGGGAGAACAATTTCTTTCTCCTCTCACCAGTGGACAGCAGGCAAGGGGGCAGTCTCTGGAAGGGATCCAGCTCAGAGTGGGTTTGCTGCTCCCACCTGCATAGCATCAGGTTGTTGTGTTGGGGGTGCTGGGAGCTTCATCCTCCATTTTTTCAGAGGACCAACATTTAGAGCTAGAGGTCCAGACCTTTCCTGGCACTACTAAGAAGGAAGCATGTGTCACAGTCAGATAAGATGGCCATAGAGAATAGAGGCATGGTAAGAAATGGTGGAGAGGGAGGAAAAACAAGCAGCCCCGTGCTGATCTTAAGGTCCCTTCTCTGCCTTTTAGGGTACCAGGGATAGACCCCAGAATAGGAATTCTGCAGACCAGTCAGTCTTACAAGCACATTTTCTGGTACTTAAGGAGATTTGCTCCTGATTTTCAGAGACAGAAATTTGCCCATCCTTGAGCAATTGCAGTGAAGTAGTATGGAATTCTATGGTGTTGACATATGTATCACATACATATATATTATACATATAGAACATAAATATGTACACACACACACACACACACACATATATATGGTGTTAGCTGTGAGCCACCAGGTCTCTTGGACATTTGAATTTGGGCATTTTAACACCTTGATGTGAGAGACTGACTCTTCTTTACATTCTTAAGAACTCCTGGGTTCTTAAGCCTGACAGAGCCTGACAAAAGATAAAAATCTTATTCAGGGCTTGGCGCCTGTGGCTCAAGTGGCTAAGGCACCAGCCACATACACCTAAAGTGGTGGGTTCAAATCCAGCCTGGGCCCGCCAAACAACAATGACGGGTGCAACCAAAAAATAGCCAGGCATTGTGGCGGGTGCCTGTGGTCCCAGCTTCTTGGGAGGCTGAGGCAGGAGACTCACTTGAGCCCAAGAGTTGGAGGTTGCTGTGAGCTGTGATGCCACAGCACTCTACCCAGGGGGATAGCTTGAGGCTCTGTCAAAAAAAAAAAAAAAACCTTATTCAGCAAACCCATAAGCTTCTGACAGAGGGAGAGTTAATATTCATTAAGGATCAACTGCTTAAGATCATGCATCTCCCTGATCTCTGTGATTCACAGAAAAAACACATTAGTTCACAGTTGGCTTTTTACATCTGCTGTCCAGTTTCTGACCAGGGACTCACCTTGGAAGCATGATATCTGCATATGTGTCCTACATGGGAGCTTCTTGTACCATAGGGCATCTTTTTTTTTTTTTTTGAGACAGAGCCTCAAGCTGTCCCCCTAGGTAGAGTGCCGTGGCATTACAGCTCACAGCAACCTCCAACTCCTGGGCTCAAGCGAGTCTCCTGCCTCTGCCTCCCAAGTAGCTGGGACCACAGGCGCCTGCCACAACGCCTGGCTATTTTTTGGTTGCAGCCGTCATTGTTGTTTGGCGGGTCCGGGCTGGATTCAAACCCGCCACCTTAGGTGTACATGGCTGGCGCCTTAGCCGGTTGAGCTATAGGCGCCAAGCCCATAGGGCATCTTAAAACAAGGTTTTTGACCTAAGAAGCCTGTTCTCCAGCCTGACCTGAGTCTTTAGAAGACATGACAAGCTGGTGACATTCCCCGTGGGAGAGATTCCAGGGGATTTTCAGGGACAAGCTTGTCTGAGTGGTCTGGCAGGAACAAAGCCCACCTAAGGTTTGCAGTAGGTGAATGGTAATTTACAATGGGGACCCAAAAAGGGTGCTGATTTTACTTTTGCTAATATACCTCCAACAGAGAGGGCAGGCTTGGGAAAATTTTAACTGGACTCAGGAAATTCATCAGTTTCTTGGGAGTCATAACCTAATACAGTTGAAAGACCAGAGTATTGTTACTCCTCCATGTTAATTTGGGCCTGAATATTCTCCTCTGACCTGTGTCTAACATCTGAATCAGTCTCATTTTCCCCAATGTGAGTCACTGTGTATAAAGTGCTCTGTGATGCTGAGTACAAGAGCACTGTGACAACTGTCTGAAGTACATTATCTCAGGCATGTGGCATTGCCCCTGGCAGAGTCCCATGCAGACAGCCTTCTAAGAGGATTACCTTGGAATAGCATTCTCCTCACCTATTAAGATTTATTGTGTTTAAGTGAAGACCAAGAGACAAAAATTTTCAAAAGGAACTAGGCCCAAGGCACCCCCCAAAGTAGTCTGTGGTAACGGGAAGACTCTAAATGGGGGACTCTCACACAGGAAATGAAGATCAGGCTCAAAGTGCTTCATCCTTTGCTAAGGAAGTGATGATGTGAATAACCTCAGTTATTCCACTGGGAAAGCTTCTGGCAATAAAGTTGATTTGAGTTTCTGGAGCAAATCAACCTCCACAGTCATGTTTGGTTGACCCTTAGTGTTAGGTCTGTAGACTTCTTTCCAACCAGCCTACAAAGGCTCCCTGTCCAATTGGGTCACTACTTCTTTACTGCTTCTCTACCCACTGCTTCTACACATCCAAGCATCACTTCCAGCTTTATAACCAACCTAGAAAAGATAAGGCCAAATTGGCTTGAGCAATTTGAAGTGACTCAATCTTTCTCCCTCTTTGGAGATGTTATTAGAATTCTTTTCTCTCCCTTTTCTTTAACCTAATCTCTCCCCTCCCTTTGAGACAAGGTCTTATTTTGTTCCCTGGACATAAGGGTAGTGGCATGATCATAGCTCACTGCACCCTAAAACTCCTGGGCTCAAATAATACTCCTGCCTTAGTCTCCTGAGTAGCTAGGATGACCAGTGCACACCACGTCTGCCTACTTCTTCTATTTTTGTAGAGATAGGGTCTTACTACGTTGCCCAGGCTAATCTCTAACTCCTAACCTTGAGCAATCCTCCCACCTCAGCCTCCCAAAATGTTAGGATTACAGTCATGAGCCACCAAAGCTCTCAACTGTAACGGCAAATGTGTTGCATCAGAAAGCTAAGAAAGCAAGCCAGTCATCCAACAATCTATTCTAATTTAAGGCTCTAAAGAACTATTTTTTTTTTTTTTTTGAGACAGAGCCTCAAGCTGTCCCCCTGGGTAGAGTGCTGTGGCCTCACAGCTCACAGCAACCTCCAACTCCTGGGCTCAAGCGAGTCTCCTGCCTCCGCCTCCCAAGCAGCTGGGACCACAGGCGCCCGCCACAACGCCCGGCCATTTTTTTTTTTTGGTTGCAGCCATCATTGTTGTTTGGCGGGTCCGGGCTGGGGATTCAAACCCGCCACCTTAGGTGTACATGGCTGGCGCCTTAGCCAGTTGAGCTATAGGCGCTGAGCCGGCTTAAAGAACTATTAAGAGCATCCATATCTTCTGCTCTGCCTAGAAGAATAAGGAGATTTATATGTCAATTATCATTTAGAGTTATTAGGGAATTGCATTTTTATTTACATTTAAAAGAGTCTTTCTCCTTTTTTGTTCTGGTCTGTGATGGCTCCCATGGACTTGGTGTAGGCTTCCCAGTGGGAGGAGAAGGGGGTGATGAAAAACCTCGTGACATAGAAAAGAATAACCCAAATCTCTTCAGGTTTTATAATTTTGGTTTTGCTTCTAAAAACACAGTCATCTCTCATAGGGTGTTATGTGCTTTATATGCTGACATTTTCCACTTGCTGCTTCTAGATGTGAGAGGAGGAACGCCAGCATGTGGCACTGCAGAGGAAGACTGATGGATGGAAAGACTCCACTTCTGACACTGCTCTCAATTCCCAGGAGTCTACCAGGTGAGTGAGCTGAGATGCCTCAGGATATGGTTCTGTAGCAGATAGGGTGTGAGAGAAGCCCACTCTGCCCTGGGTACCCAGGTTGGCACTGAGTATTAAAAGGCAGGGGACATATGGTGAGGAGCTAGGCTGAGGGTCCCCTCCCCCCGCCCCTGTGGCTCCACAGTAAGCAGTGGCACCATTTGAGGCTAGGGAGGGGAAATGTGCAGGGCCCAGCCCTCCAGGAGACCAGCAGTTAAAATGGGGCAGAGGGACCCATTCCAGCATAACCAAGAAAGCTGCAGATCATAACAACAATGGCTGCTGATATGGCATTAAAAACATGATGTCAAAGTTACAATGGCTGAGAATGGTACCAACATGCTGCAGCTGAGAAAATGGGTAACCAGTGTTTGTTTGAAGAACAGATGACGCTCAGTGAGTGGCTCAGCCAACAGTTCAGAGGTTCGTGGGAAGACCTCTCTGCCTGGCTAGCTTCTCTTGCACAATGTCTCCTATAAAACCACCGAGGCATTTACATAGCATATTTCTGTGTCCACTCTCTTGCTACTCTGTTGTACCTGGAAGAAAAAAGCAGAGGGATTGACACCCTCACTTTAATTAGTCACTTCCTTTCAGTGGGAGCAGAGAACAGGACTAATGTGGAGAATGTTGCTGCTGCTTCTTGTCAAACATCTAGGACTGATAAATGAGTGAAACAAAGACTTTCCCTGGAGCAGGAGCATGTCATTTGTAGCTATTAACCCCAAGCTTGGGGTCCTGTTAATGCTCCACAGCTATCTTCTGTGGAAGATTTAATAATACAACAAACTCTCTCCCTTTAATTCTCCGGACCTACAGTATGGATCCAGCGAGGATAGAGAAGATATACAAAGGCCAGTTTGGAGTAGTTACTGTGGGTAGGCTGCCCAGCACATAAACTTCAGAACATGGGCTTGGCCACTTCTCTTGTGACCTCCTGGACTCCTTGATTATTTACCACAGGGAGATCATCTGCCTTGTGTGGTTGTGGGGAAGACTAAATAGGTCTGTATGTAAAGTACATGGGGCATGTGTGGCACCCACTTAGGCCTGTGCATTTATCTCCGTTATTGTAACAAAATCTGATGCCATGAGACTGTAAATTAGAGAGATTTGTAGTTAGAATATGCACTGGAAAAAAATCACTTTTGGTATGTCTAATACATCTCATAATAAGTAATAAAATTAATAAATTAAAATTTAAACTCTAGCCAATTAAAAATCATTTTGGATGGATGCAGTAGCTCACACCTATAATCCTAGCACTTTGGGAGGTAAAGAAGGGAGGATAGCTTAAGGCCAGCTGTTCAAGACCAGCCTGGTAAATGATTACAAGACTCTATCTCTACAAAAAAATTTTAAAAATTAGGTGCATGTAATGGTGTGCACCAATAGTTCTAGCAACTTGAGAGGCTGAGGCAAGTGGATCACTTAAGCCCAGGATTTCAAGGTTGTAGTGATCTATGATTATACCACCATGCAGGGAGGACAGAGTGAGATCTTGTCTCAAGATAAAAACAAAAAAATCACCGTTATTCAGGAAATCCCAAGGAAGGAAATAATGAGATCCATAAAGTCTTAAGAAAAATATAAATTGGTGGCTCGGTGCCTGTAGCACAGTGGTTATAGCACCAGCCACATATACTGAGGCTGTCAGGTTTGAACCCGGCCTGGGCCAGCTAAACAATGACAACAGCAACAAAAAAATAGCTGGGCATTGTGGCGGGCACCTATAGTCCCAGCTACTTGGGAGGCTGAGGCAAAAGAATCGCTTAAGCCCAAGAGTTTGAGGTTGCTGTGAGCTGTGATGCCATGGCACTCTACTGAGGGCAACATAATAAGACTGTCTCAAAACAAAAAAAAAAAGATAAATATAAATTGGAAAATCCACATTCCATTCTGATCTCTTCAGACAGAAGTAACAAAGTAAAAGACTCACTGGAGATGTACCCTCCCCCAGCACCACACACTGAGATCCGGCACCATTCACAGGGCTGCTGTTCCTGCTGCCTGGGCTGCTGTCACACTAACCCTTTGATTAACACACAGTGATGATTCCTTGTGCTTGCTTCACTGACCACAGATACCTCCGTGCTAGAGCACACATGGCTGTGCCTGGTTGAAGGGGTCAGAATTCTACCACTCTGGGCCTAGGAACTAGTGTTTAAGCAGAGAGTTGGCAGCGAGGGTCTGTCAGTGAAATAGCAACACATTGCTGACTTCTGAGCCTCAATCAGCAAAGTGTTTCTCACCTTGACTGGCCTTGGCCTTGGATACCCTGGATGTATTGAAGCAGATATCCTTTGTTTTGTGCTATAAACCTTAGACTATAATCCAGAATTTTCTCGGTGCCAGATTCTGTTGAGTCCATTCCTGGCTAATCACTGACTTTGCTGGCCTCAAGGGCAGAGCCTGGCAATATTTTAGGGCCAGTAGCAGCAGCTGGTAAGTTATCCAGGAGGTTAAATTGCTTTTATCTCCTCCTCCCTTGCTACAGTCAAAGAACATGGTAGTGAGAGAGCCAGGAGTCCAAGCCCAGGGCACAGCCACTGCACACATCAGCTCAGCAGGAGCAGTAAGATGTTTGTGGGAACTGTGTAGCCAAGAAACATCAGCTCAGAGCAAAGGTACCACCTAGAGCTGTCTGATGCAGCCATAGCACAAAGTAACTACAAAGAAGATGCATACTTCTCTCTGTCGGCCTTGTAGATGTGGGCTATCTCTGGTACCAGAGGGTCATCAGGGTTGGGATCACAGAGCAGGGAGCAGATGGATAAGAGAACTGGGAAGAAAAGAAAAGGTGGGTTAACTATAGCCATGAGATTGTGAGTTGCCCCTCTGAGCCTCTCTGAACTCACATTCTCTATGGACCAAGCAGGTGTCTTTCCTTCAACGTGCCAATCTAAATTGTGTGCTTGATGCTCTACTAGCTCTGCCCCATGTGTCAGCTGAAAAGTAGCTATGAACTTCACAGTGTAGCCCCAGGCAGGCTGCAGCTCCAGCAGGTGTGCTAGGACACCTGCCTCCTCGGTAAGTCTGGCTCTCCTTCCCCTTCTCCACTGATGTGCCCTGTCTCAGCCTCCAGTTAGCCACTCCACTGGTGTCTACATCCCATACCACACACCACCTCTGTTTGGTCCCAGAAGCCCTGTTTCCTGATAAGGAAACAGGAGCTGAGAACAATCAGGTAACCTGTCCAAAGTCACAGACTATGAATACTCAGTAAATGGGTAAAAACCAGATTGTGCACCAAGTGGGTGTGACTGCAAGGCAAATGCATTCTCCTGCTCCTGTAGGCCATCAACACAAGGAGAAGGAACTCCATAGAAAGAACTATGGTGCCCAGACAGAAATGTGAACTGCCATTCCTGGCTTTGATCTTGATTCACATGACTCCAGATAAACTGGCTCTGGCCAGTTCATCAAAGTCCTGACCACAGTTCCCCACAGTAGAGCTACAAATGGGAGGGGCAAATTGTCTCTCTCAAGATCCTCAACCTTCCTTCTACTCTTCCGAGCTTGGAGTCTGACAAAAGAAGGGTTGCAGACTCACCTCCAAGGCCACTCAGACCCACCCTCCAGCCCTCCTCAGAACTTGAGTGCCCACCCCCTGCCGCTCTGCTTCTTCTTCTCTCCCTGACCCTATACCTAACACCACACTGACCCTGGCTCTGCTGGCTCAGTATCAAGACCCTAGGAGCTGATCAACTGTGATGACTGCCTTCCTCCTTGTACTCCTCCCTGGCCTTGGGCAGTGGGACAGAGATACACACTCAAGGTTCCAAGTAGAGGGGTACTATTTCGGCAGGATGTTGGACTGTTTTCTGGATGCTTGAGCCTGGTGTGCCTGCTCTGCCTCCACAGTGTCTGGGTTGGGGGCTCTGTCCCTCTAGATCGACCATCACTTCTGCAAGGCCTCTTTAGCCTTCCCCTGCCAGCTTCGCTGGAGCCTTGTGGCCTTTCCCAATTGCCCAAGGCTCTGCTGCCTGGATTGTCTCATTCTCCACTCCTGGCCTATTTCTTGGGCTTGGGGACTCTATTTCTCTTAGGTTGATTTTTCTTTTTTTTTTTTTTTTTTTGAGATAAGATGTCACCCTGGGTAGAGTGCCATGGTATCATCACAACTCCTAGCAACCTCCAACTCTTGGGCTTGAGTGATCTTCTTGCTTCAGTTTTTCTACTTCTAATAGAGACAGACAGGGTCTTACTCTTGCTCAGGCTGGTCTCCAACTCCCAGAGCTCAAGCAACCCACCTGCCTTGGCCTCCCAGAGTGCTGGGATTACAGATGTGAGCCTCCATGCCTGGCCTAAGGTTGATTTTTCATCACCTACTCATACTCCACCCAACAGCACATGGTACTTTCTATGTTCAGGCTTTCTATCCACACACAGCCCATGCTCAGCCCATCTTAGTTCAGAAGGAATATCTACATTTCTAAAGCATGGTTTAGATTGGTTTCTTTAACCTCACCCAGAAACCTGTTTTCAACACCACTTATTTCGGGCAGGGAGTCCCTGGGAGCAGGACCTGTATCTCTTTCTTCAGAGCGGACTCACAGTCCTCATTGGTACTTGTTGGGTGAATTAATGAGGGAGAAGGTAATGTAATATTTGCATTCCTTATTTTAGATAAAAAGTATAATCAGGCTCGGCACCTATAGCTCAACCGGCTAAGGCACCAGCCACGTACACCTAAGGTGGTGGGTTCGAATCCAGCCCGGACCCGCCAAACAACACTAATGGCT